CTGATAGTGGAATTGGGGTGCACAGAACAGCTGGCCACCTGACCATGGCTACCCCTGCAACTGTCCATGTCGTGAATTCTATCGGGCAATCTCTCACGCTCACTGTTGGATTTGATTTCAGGAACCAGTGCAGTGTCGGATGTGCAGCAAGCCCACAATCACCATCTGCCATATTAAACTAAATTAAGAGACACGTGAACGTGTGCAATGTGAAATCTAGGAGGACTATTATAAATATTTTAACAATGACACTCAAGGCGGCATTTGATGACAACTATTCTTTGCTGCACAGTGAGGAGGCCTGGAGCTCCGTTTTCATTGAATCAAGGGCCCATGATGATTGTCACCATGTCTTCCCTGAACAAGCACCCAATAGCCACTGGCTCCATGCCCAGCCTTGATCATGGACACAGGCAGCACAAGGTCCAGGTCACTTGCCAGGTGAAAGGTCCTGAGGACAACAGATTGAGTCACATCACAATCACGTGGCCACATTAGCTCTCCTCCTGTACCGCTGGTCATTGTGGGGCTTCTCACTTCCACGTATGCTCTATCACAACAGACGGCATCCTGCAGCTCGCACGTACCGGCACAAGCTTAGGTCTCCGTACAGGGCGCTCTCAAACACAGGGCCAGAGGAGGAGGGGCTCACCTGCTCTGTGGGGTCAGCACACAGGGTAAAGGCAGCCAGGGAAACTCTGCACCAACCAAGGACCCAGAAAAAACAACCCTAGCACAGCTGCTACCCTCCTGCTGTGGACCCCACAGCTTCCAGGCTCTTGGGACCTGTGCCCTTCCCCTGGTCACTAGGGGTTCCTGGAGCTTCTTCCTGTGCTCAGCACCTGCAGACCACCCTACAGCTCACCAGGGCCAGCTCTCAGCCATCAGGGGACACAAAGCTTGCAGCATCCACATGACTCTGGGGTCGAGTACAGCCTTGGGAAGAGTCCAGTTCCACAGTGTCCTTTCGGGGGACTCTCCCTTAGCACCAAGGTGATATGCATATTATATAATAGAATACAGACACCCATCTCTACAGTTTTGCAAAACTGATTGAAGAACTAAACTTGTGCTAAGAGGGGTTTTATGTCTCTCTGGTCTGGGTTGAAGACACACCCGACAGAAAAGAATGGAATGCTTAAATATGCTGTGTCTTCTAGAAGTGATCTGACTCTGTATACACTCTGGGGAAAGGTAATATTACCTGAGATACAGAATTATGTATATTGTATATGACACAGAGAATGCTTGTATTATATACACTCCAACTTACTGCCTGGGTCAAGCCAGGCATGCTGCCACATGCCTGAAATCCCAGCACTTGGGAGGCTGAGGCAGAAGGGTCACCCAAGTTCAAGGTCAGCCTGGGCTAAGTAGGGAGCTCAGGATCCAGCCTGAACTATATAGCAAGACTCTCTCAAAAAATCAGACCAAAATGAAACAAAACAAAACCCAAAAGGAAAGAGAGATTAAAAGGAGTGTGCTTAATAGAAGCGGAATTTCCTTCAGGTTTCTGCTCCCAGTGTGACTGCACATTTCACCAGGTGTCCACAGCTTACCAGAGCAAATGGGTTTCAATATCTAATCCAGAAGACCTGTCCTTTTACAAGTGAGAAAGGGACCAAGAGATGGGTAGGGGCTAGGGGGGAGAGGAGGGGTGTGAAAAAGAATCAAGGCGTGTTCTGTACACTGTTGTAGCTGCCGTGTCTAGATGTCCCCCCCAAAGCCCTATGCAGTCATAGGTGTGGCTTTCAGAGGTGACTGTGACCCTGCTGTGTGAGCCTGGGATTAAGTGTATGAGCTGGGACCGAGAGGGTGGGATTACTGAATCAGTCCACTGAATGACTTGGCATAGTTCTGGGAGTGGATAACAGGAAAGCCCAGCCTAGGTGTGAGTGCTGCCCACCCTCAGGTAGCCTGGACAGAATATAAGTGGCAGAAAGAGGGCTGCTGTCGCTGCTTGCTGCTTTGCTACTTCGCTGCTTGCTGCCTCACTGCTGTCTGCCTTCTGCCCACCATGGGCTGTTTTTCCTCTGCCATGCCACCCTGGCTTGGAGTCAGCCAGCTAAGAACTGAAACCTCTACAAGCTGTGAGCTGAATGAACCTTTCCTGGTTTTACTTCCGGTGCCGGGTATTTTGTCTCAGCAATGAGAAAAGTAACTAGGACATACACATACCAACTCCCTGTGATAAATGTAATCAATATGTGCTGCAAACATGGAATAATAAAAAATATCCCATACAATATATATAGTGTATATAATGCTACTGCTTTACCGTAGCTCAATAATTCTTTATGTCTGCTTTCCCTATTTCAGGCATGCTGTGATTTCTACCTGAGACAGTCCCGAACTGACATGCCCTCCTTGCCCTACCCACCCTTAGCGAGAAACAGTGAGAATTAGGCAGATTCTCAGCTCAGTGCCTGCATTTACTCAACATGTGCAAGATGCATAGAATATCATAAGGTACAGAACAAGTACTATTGGCTACTGTTATTAGTGGTTGAGGCATATTATATTTTCCCTTTATGTTCTTATTGTAAAGAAAGTCCAAGATGTATGTTTTATATTTCATAGTGGCCTTCACTGGAGCTTACACAAACACTTCTTCACTGAAAAATAAAAATTACTGAGCTAAAATCTTTAAATTCTTTTTCTTGCATGCTTTAAAAGCAAAAATAAATGAAAATATTTAAGGCTTTTGTCTGCGGAGAGAAGCCAATTCCTTATTTCTTCGATGTGATTACACCAGAGGCTGGGGATGCCTTCCCACTGTGGGAAGATGACTTGTCCTGAATATAAAACTTAATGGCTGGGGAATGGAGGAAAGAAAAGAATGTGGAAGAGATCTACTATAAAAGTAACAATTTTTCCTTTAAAGACTTAAAAAAATTCCAGATACCAGTTCAAAGTTCTGCGTAGTGTACAGAATTTAAGTACTGGAAACCACAGTAAACCCTGCAGCAGAAGTTTAAGCATCGCTCACACTGCCATGCAATAGTCATTATTAATCTTACCTACCCCTCTTCCTCTACTGCTAGTTGATGAGGCATCATGTTCAATCCAAGCAGATATTCGGTTTAGTGAAATCTTTCTGAGCATCTATACGGCTGCACTGAAAAAGAGCTCATCTTCTACACTGTGCACCTCAGGGCTCTCACGGCTGCCTGGTTTGTATCTTGCATTTTCCCGGCCACTGGATCGCATCACTCGAATGAGTGCATGGTTAGGTGTGCTCTGCAGGGACCTCTCCAGGTGCCAGGAGCAGGTGTCTTACAACTCAGCTTCTCCAACTGCAGCAGATGGAGCTGCTTCTCCCAGGCTTCGGTGTTGTACTCTGCCATCATAATGCTGACGAACAGCTGAGTGGACTGCCTGGCCCCGGCCCTCGGCAGAGGAGGACATCCAGTCTGCATGAAGCCTGTACTCACCCTCCTGCGCACACACCCTCAACTGGTACAGGGCAGGTGGAGATGCGCTCCACCCCTAAGGTACCAGCAAGATGCCGGCGCCTCTTTCACCAATGCCTGATGTGAGTACACATGGCTCACTTGATCTTTCTAAGCCTCAACTTACCTTGTTTCAGAATCAAGCAACCAAGACTCAACAGTTTTGGGGCTGGGGATTTAGCTCAGTGGCAAAAGCGCCTGCCTGGCAGGCGCAAGGTCGTGAGTTCGGTTCCTGGTACCGGAGAAAAACCAAAAACAAAACAAAAATCAAAACAAAGACTCAACAGTTTTAAAGATCTCTTTTAGCTCCAAATTCCATAGCACTCTATTTTGTTCTTCTGTAGTTTTGGATTCTGTTTAGGGGATGTTTATCTCTGAGGATTCCCATATGTCCTGTCAGAGACCAAATGGTTACTGAGGTTATCCTGAAGGTTGACTATTTTTCTGTGTGCCTGGTAGCCAGATAGGGGGGCCTTGGCACCCCTACCACCTTCCATAGTCTCCTCACTCACCTCTGCCACACCAGGCTATACGGGGATGACCCCAGCGAAGCCCTGTTCTCAGTGGCAACCCCACTTATGAGGCTTTGCCAATGGTTGTTTAAGAAAGCAGACTTCCTGCATATTTTCCATGGTAAACAGGAGACCAACATTAAAAAGCAAGGCAGGACCCAAAGGGCTGAAGGGCAACAGGAATGATAGAAAAGTCCAGGGCCAGCAATAATAACTTAGTACCTGTTAGAGCTGATGCCTAGACATCTCTCTAAAACCTCCCACAATCATAGCTGGGACCTTTGAAAGATGATTTGATGTATTGGGTTTATAGCTACTTCCGGTTAGGAGATGGGCCTAGGCTGTAACCTGGCAGGCTCATCTCCTTCCTTCCTCCTCCCCATCACGTCCTATCCACCATGCCATGAGCAGCTCTGCTGTGCCAGGCCCCTGTGCCCTGCCTTCCTGCCTTCGTGCCAGCAGATTATGGACTGAAATCTGAGCCAAAATCAACCTCTCCTCATTTAAGTTGCAGACACAGTGACAGGTATTGTGTCTCAGTGACAAGGAAAGTGACCGAGACAGTACCTTCAAATTCCAGATGGGGAGTTTCCTCCCCAGGTGCTGACTTGCTGCCTGAGTGAAACACAGAGGGTAAAGAGGCTGTCATTAACGTGCGTGGAATTTTTCGCGGGTTTCTGCCACAGGGTGTAACCAAAGTTCTCCAGGCCCTGCTGGCTTATTAGAACAAGCGGGTTTCTACACACAATTACATGAGAGCAAAGTGACTGAGGATACAAAGAACACACAACATACAGTGCAACCATCGAGGGAGAGTGTAGAAGCTCCCGTCCGTCTCTATGGACAGACTTCTGCTCTGATTCACACTCAGCCTCCCCATCGGACTTCTGCAGCCTACCGCCCATCCAAGTGTGCCGGGGTCCCTGAGGCGACTCATGTGCTAAGAAGCCGGCCCTGACCCCTGCCCCCCACTGCTCTGCCCACTTCTTCCTTCTGCGCTCTGAATTTTCCATTGCCGGATCACCAGCTCTCTCACCTCCTTCCTGCCAGCCACTTCTCTGTTCTCTGGCATACGATGGGAAGGGCTTCTGATGACAAAGCTGTGGAGTTCTGGAAGTCAAAGGCAATTGGAAGAGACTGCAGTGGCCGTGGTTGGGTTTTTCAAATGTGCTGGCCCTGGCCCGACAGTGTGGAGTGTCAGGTGACTTCTCTGGTTTCTCTTAAACAGCCTTCTACACACTCAGAAGAATGAAGGACAAGGCCATGCTGGACACTGGCCAGATTCAGAGCTGGTGTCCTCCTCCAGTGACCACGTATGCTCACCCAGACTCACTGCAATGCGCTTCCTCTTGCCTTCTGGTCCCACTGCTCATTCCGGGCGGCACCCCTGAATCAGCGGCCGTGCTCAATTCCAATGCAGGCTGGGTGGGGACAGCCTCGACTGCAGGAAGTAAAATGTGCCACTGGACAAACCTGCCAGATGGGCCGCACTAGGACATCAGCGTGCAAAGAACAATGGTTTCTATCTGTTTTGTCCCTAACATACCACCCTCCGTAACCGTTAGCCTTCATGGACCGGGCAAAGGGCAGCATCCACCAGCGCTGTCTGCACAGCTGCTCTCTGCCTTTCCCTAGGCCACATCAGTGAGCCTTCCTTGCTGGTAGCTCTGCCCCTTGCAAAGGTGAGCAGGGGGAAGCCAGCGCTGCCTACCTGCCGGCCTGCTCCTGCCACACACAGAACCAGAGGCCTCTGTCCGCAGCCTGGGTTGCCACAGAGCTTTAGGGAATCCAGTGAGAATCACAGGAAGAACGTCGTTGCAGGTAGACATTCTGGACAGCACTTGAAGAGACTACAGAGGCCCCGAACCCCAGCATGTAACACTGGTGGCAGAATCTGAAACAAAACCATCCGAAAAACAAAGTTTTCTTTCTTGTTAAAGAAATGTCTGAACATATGCTCAGAAAGAGACAAATATGTGATAGGTCAACATAGATATAACAACTATCAACATTCTGCTGCTCTTATTTAATCTGTTCACCTCAACTTTGTAAGCTATTTTTGCTAAAGCATTTAAAGTCAATCTGAGAGTCCTTGCAATTTTATCTGTAAATACCTTCATAGGTATCCGACTGACCAAGACTTTCCTCCCTACCTTCCTTCCTTCCTTCTTTTGTTCCTTCCTTCCTTTCTTCCTTATTTTACATGACCATTAAAACATTCTTACATTCAACAATAGTAATACTTTCTAAATATCAAATAACCAAACTTTTAGATTTTTCCAGATTGTCTAAAAAACACCTTTTGACAGTAGCTGGTTTCAACCTAGATCAAAGGCAAGACTGTAGCATGAGAACCAGTTGGTTTTTTATCGGTTGCTTATTTTCCAATGGAAGAGTGGGTATGCAGGGTAGGGTGAGGGTAGAATCAATGAAAACTAAATTTAAATATTGGGGACTTTAGAATTCTTATTTGTTTGCTCCATATCATAAAGATAAATCAGATGAGAGTTTAGATTTGAGTCCAACAGCCAGATAAAACTACACACCTGGAAGATCAGGCTGCACATTCCTTCTCTGAATGTAATGGCAGGGAAATTGTTTGAAGCTCACCTCGCATGGATATGTCTTTCTTTTCTTTGGCTTGGATAAAGAAGCACCACTTACCCTCAATTGTGATGAGTATACTTGCTGTCCTCCTGGTGTGTCCAGTGCTGGTGATGGTCATCAGAATTCTTTTCCACCAAAATCACCTCTGTGCCCAAGCAGAGGCCGAACACTTGCACCCCAAGATGAGCCGAGGAGCAGGGAGGCTTATGATTTTCAGTCTCTGTATTCAGACTGCTGGGGTGGAGCTTCCGCAACTGACCATGCTTTGGAGAGTGGCCGAGACAAAACTCTGTCACAGGCAGAATAATGCCACGCACTTGATGCCTGGGGATTACAGCATGGTGGGTGACAGCCACATGGTGAACCAAGGCAGCCCCGCAGTGGTGACCACATCATCTCAACAACAGTGCCACAAGGAGCATCGCACTTCTGAGTTCACATAAGGAGTGGAGATCAGAGTCTGCTTTGTACCAGAAAGGAGTGTTTGTTCAAGAGAACACTGGAGGAAGTTGTCAATGAAGACGACAGACGCTCAGCTGAAGGAGGGACCTGGTGCAGAGGAAAAAGTGAAATTCTGAAGAGGAGTAAGAGAAGAAGAGGAGCATGCAGAACAAAAACAGAAGTAAGCGAGTTCTGATCAAATGAGGGTCATTTCTAACTGCTGGCTGCAGGAGACCTGGAAAGTAAGATACCAGTCTCCAGTGTTCAGTCTCCCCCGACACATAGAATGTCGTAACAGAATAGGAGACGCTGAGCTAATTTTAAGGACTCTGTTACTGAAGGATTTTAAAGCACTACGCAGGCGTTAAACACGCTAAATATTATAATGCATTGGCTAGTAAATTAATCCAAGGAAATTAAGTCCCTACTATGTGTGCAGTCTAATGTTAACTGTTAAATGTGCTGACACCATTTAACTCACAAATTCTCATCACTGCTTTAACGTTGAGTAGATGTCAAAAGCTCATGAAATAATACGAATTCCTATAGACTCCTGACACTGCACTGGACTTTGGCCAGAAAAAAGATGAATTAAAAAGGAAGAAACTGAATTTTACTACCTTCATATAAACATCAGGGCATCTTATGTGCTTATTCCTAAATTCACGCACACATTCATTCAACAAATACATAGACAACTTGCTAGGTTCTCAGGAGGCAAAGGGGGGCGAGATTACTCTGTTATTTGGGAAGATGCAGAAATGGCCAAGAAATTTCATTCCACTGCACAAACTGAACTAAAAGGAAAAGGACCTTCCCACAAACTCTTCAATCAAAAACGTAAGATAAAGGTGTGTGTGTTGGTGTAAGCAGTAGTGACCAGTAGTGAAAATTTTAATTTGTACCCAAATGTGAAAATCGGAGATGAAACAGAAGCTCTCACTGTTATCCTTGGCCACTTTTTACCTGCATTTCTCCCTTGGGATTGCATTTCCCTTTGGAAGACTGTCATCCTCGGGAAAGTCACAGGAAGTCCTGCCGAGACACCTGAGAAGCTTGTGACGCACATCCGTGTGGAGCTGGGCTCCGTGTCTCTGCCAGGATCAGAGTGTAAAATTCGCATGCATGCTCTTAGAATTTTTTCCAGGGTGGAGTTTGACCAGGATGATGGCGGATGTACATAGAAACCATATTTCCATAAAGATGCCTAACATCAGAAATCCACTTCTTACTAATACATAATTTAGATCTGTTAGTATAAGCCAATAAATAAAATTTTCCTAAGGCATAATAAACAGCATCCATCTTTGTTATGTTTGCTCAGAAAAATGGAGCCACGTGTTATATTTCAAAACTGATAAAAGGTTACTCAGTAGCTTGGGAAATTCGTAACGAGCATGTAATGAAACCGAGCCCTCACAACAGACGTGGGTCAGGGTCCTGTCTGGAGCATGCAGTGTACATTACCTGTTCCATCAAGTAGTCAGTGTTAAGAAATCTTAATTAACTTTTCCTCTCAACAGAGAAATCTTGGCAGGCTTGAATCGCATGTGCACGTACATGCCAGCTTTTAGGAGAGAATCATACACCACAGTGTGAGAATAAATAGCCATAGTTTGAATAATCGAGCTGGCCTTCCGGCTTCTTATGAAGACAGATCTACGAACGGCACCGTGGCTCGGGTCCAAACCTGTCAGCTTCCAGCCGCCCTGGAGAGCACATGCGCTTGGAGTGGGACGTTGGCACAACATGACAGCGTGACCAGTTCAGCCCTCAGAGCACGACACGGGGGAATGAGGCTCCCTGGGCACACAGTGTCACCTGGCGATAGCCTGATGTAACTGCAGGCATTCACAGATGACCACAATCTTCAGGGACAGTTCCGGTGAGCAGGGCTGCCCCGCATTTTGCCAACCGAGCAGCTGTGTGGTGCGCAGTTATTTGCAGGGCAAAAGCTGCACGTTCAGAGGCCCAGCACCGGCAGCAGAAGCTCCCCGACGGCGGAAAGGCAACAGCACCACCTGGTGTTGGAAACGCAAACCTCGGCTTTCCCACCTACTCCATTTCTTTAACCCGCAAAAGGACAGAAAGGCGGGAAAAACACATCGTTGATTTTTAACAAATTTAGCAAGGTGCAGACCAAGAACCTTCCTTACCTGCCTGGATTTTTATCTATGAGCTCTTGGGCTTCCAGGCAGGCGAAGTATAGTGCAGTCAACTTTGAATCATTTCCAAACCATCTTGTTTTATTAATTTATTTGTTCCTTCTCCCATTAATAGAACGGATCTCCCATTAGTTATCCATCCCTTTACCCGGTATTTATTGAACACTTACACCGTGAGGAACAAAGCAGGTAGGTTTTTAGGGTTCACGGAGCTCACATTCTGGTGGGGAGAGGAGCGATTACAGATCCCTAGGTGAATAAATAGAGAAGCAGAACAGAACTTGGGCTTGGAAAACCACTGCAGTGCGGGGCCTACTTTAGCAATGTGGTCAGCGAAGCTGCTCTGAACTGGTGACAGACGGGTGGACTGTGCTCAGGCTCTGAGCCGGCTCTGACACTGGACCCTGGGAAGGAAGGAGCCAGCTATGTGATGATCTAGAAGGACAGCATTCTAGACAAAGAAAGGAACAAATGTCAAGAGTACAGTGGCCATCTGGGGAGCAGAAAGACACGGGTGTGAGGGGTGAGCAGTGAGAGACAGGGCGGCCGGGCTAGGTGAGGCTCAAGGGGCGCGGGCCGGTCCCTGACCCCACAGCGTGCCCAGCCTTCGCCCTCAGGAGGCAGTGCCTGGTCCTTTCCCACTGCGCAGCAGGACGCGCTCCAGCCGGCAGGGAGCAGCGGGCAGGTGGCACCCTCGGTGAGGCTCAGCCTCTCGGAAGAGGCCAGGGCCCGAATTCCTCTCCAGAAATGCCTTCCTGGCCAGTGTTAGTACCGGGACACACAGAACCTGGCGAATCACTCCTCCAAATCAGGAAATGTGTCTCCAGAGTAAAAGTTAGAATTCTCATAGCTGAGGACAGAAATGGTGGTCTCAGAGGCAGCTGGTAAGAGTCACTTGAGCAGGTGACTTTGGCTTTACAGTTTGGAAACCACCGCTCTTTCCTGGACTCAGTAGATGACGATGACAGCCTGTGTGACAGGTCCTTGTCCTGGAGGAGTTCCCAGGCTGGGGGGTGGCAGGAGGATGCCCACCCATCGGCATCACAGGGCCAGCTGTCCTGGACTCCGGGGAGGAAGTCATTCCCGGGCAGCAGGGCGAGGACACGCCCTGCACCAGGACCTGAGCAGAAGGGGCCATGCTGGGGCGACACTCAGGGGTGGGAGGGAAACGGCAGTGAGGTGTGGGAGAGAGTCCGCGGGGCTCGGCTTCCCAGACTGTCCTCTGCCTGCAGTGCGTTCTTGTCAAAGCGTGGTGTGGGCAGAGTGTGTGTGTGAGAAAGACGTGGACCACACAGGGGACCTGAGGACGGGGAGAAGGACGTGGTCGAGACGAGTGGGTCCGGACAGCCGCCCACTAACGTGCGTCCCACTTGCACCTACTTCAGCAAGAAGCTTCACTACCCCTCAGCCTGCGTAAATGGGACAGAACGCGATCCCTTCCTCGGGTGCCCACCTTCACTGCTGAGGTGCGGGTCTTTTGGAAGAACAGCACGCACAGTCCCGGGGGAAGCAGCACGTCGTGGCAGTCCCCACAGCTCTAGGTCTGTCCTCTCACCAGAGAACCAAGGAAACGCAAGCTCGTCGCCTGACATCAGTTTCACCAACTTGGCCAGGCTCCCCGCGGGCTGGGTGCTGCCCTCAGGCTAATGAGCCGGCCCAGAAAGCAGCCTGGTAGGCTTCCCGGCCCTGATGATTACACAGAGAAGAGCACGGACTGTAAGGGCAAGTTCTCTGTTAGCAAGCCCAGAGGCTGAAACACAAGTCAGAACACAAAGGCGGAAAACGCCAGCCTCGCCCTCCATGGCCAGCCTCGCCCTCCATGGGCCGCTCTTCACACTTAGAAGCTGGATTTCATTTAACTTCATGTCTGTAGATCCCTTCCTCTCCAGATATTCTTAGTCGAAAGCTCTAAAAGTGGGTCTTCCAAAAACAAACTGATTATTTTACATTCTTATTTTGTTTGTTTTTTGAGACAGGGTCAATGACCATCCTCCTGCCTCAGCCTCCCAGGTGCTGGGATTACAGGTATGCACCACCATGCCCAGCAATTATTCTATGTTCAAATGTGCTACATTATTTAGTTGTTTGTCCCTAGACCAGTCTAGGGATTCTGTCTCATCAGTCAAAGTTCCAACGCCTCGACAAAGGTTTACTGTACAGTGTTCAATATGTGTGATAGGGTACAGTTTTACATTAGATCAGCTGTTTTTCCTTTAGGGAAAGAAGAGGAGCGCCCGGAAGTATGGGATGCTACACAGGGAAGCAAGTGTCGGGGGAGAGCTTGGACCTCCAGACAGCGGCAGTGCAGCGCCATGAGGTCCGGGTGCTGCAGTCGCAACATCCGGCTTTTCCAAAGGTCTTTCCCTTCCGATGGTGTACCACAGGGTCATTTTCAGGGCTGACCTCCAGCAAATCCACCATTTCTGGCCCTAAAGGATTTGAAGCGGAAGACAGGGAAATCCAGAAAAGGAGCAAGGGCAGCCCCGCTCCCCAACAGGGAAGACGCTGCCCACCGCGCAGGATGCAGTGACAGGGTCACCTGCTGAGCTGTCCTTGTCACTTCTGCTGGAGGCACAGACTCAGGAGCCTCAATCCCTGAGGTACAGCAATGACCTAGGACTAGCTGAGTCTCACTGGGGAGTTGGCAGAAGTGGTCACCAAGCAGGATGGTAGCTCTGTAGCAAAGATCCACGATAGGCACTGGGTCACTCCAAGATGTAAAGGCAGGATGGGCCCAGACAGAAAGTGCCACCCCACAAGTGTCCCCAGCCAGACAGCTTGACCAGTGGAGCTCAGGAAGCCAAGCCGAGAGTCCACACCGCACACCCTGCCCTTCCTTCCTAGACTCAAAGGGTGCTCTGGAGCAGCGGTGGCCAATCTACAGCACCTGTGTTATTTATTTTTCTTTAAGACAAAAGATGTTAATGCATGAGTTGG